GTCATGAAAGAAATTGCTTGGCGACTTTCTCTCTAATCCGTGCTAGAAGAAGAAGAGCGAGAAAGGATGAGGAAAGAAGTTGTGGAGGATGAAGGAAGTGGAGTAGAATGAGTTCTTGATCTTTTCCCAAGAGAGATGCCAAATATTGAAGAAGGAAGGGAGGGTTGAAGAAGCAATTGGAGTCCAGGCTGAGGACGAAGTTGAGGTGGAAGAGGCTTGCACCGACTATGAGTTACATGTGATATCTCCACCAAACTTCGAGGAACTGCTTAGCAAAGACCCATTTGCAGTGTCTCTTTTCTAGACCAAGGCCACATCAACATCGGTCCCTCTTGGTGGACGCGATGGTGGTCAGTCGATGCTGTCATATCTAGTTTGGGGCAATGAGACGAGAAGGGAAGAAAATAAGAGGTCTCGCGGGTGGATATTTCATATTCATCAAGTACACGAGCCTACATCACCTGTCATACCACATGCTCGTGACTTGAGACTCCGCCTCACCGACAAGAACCTCAACTTCAAGGAGGTTCTAGCATGGACCGAAACTTAAGAGCCACCATCCGACTCACGACATGAATGAAGCTCTTGTTGGGATGTAACCTAACCACACTTTCTTTCCCTATTTCTCTTTGGTTGAGTCAGTTTGTCTTTTGATTTTAGAGTCAATAACTCAACCTTTGTGATATTTTGTGTGGTGTTTGTGTTCCGACTGCTCTTTCTCTACTTTCTTCCATAGAACGCACCGCCTGCCCCATTCACCATCATTCACACTCGATCTGGTAACTCTGTTCTACCCTCCTTATATATCCTCCATTGAAGACAATGTCGTGCTTAAGTGTGGGGGGTGTTTATATTTGGCTGCATAGATGATTTTGTGTGCTTGGAGCCTAGTCCACTATCCAATTTGATGAATTGAGGGCTCCAAATACGGTTCCCTGCAATAAGGCTCAATATGCTTTGAATTGACAGTCTTTATGGTGATATGCAACCTAGGGAGGTAGTTGTAGCACTATGGATGATGTTGAAGTATAAGATTTTCCCTATCTGTCGCTTTTCTGTGCCAGTTGATTTTGTGAACTAGTGGATTTAGGACCGTTGATTCACGTGGTACTGATGAATCTCATTTTGTTGTGTTGCGGACTCGTGTATCGAAATAGGGGACGTCTTAGAAGACCAGTTTACCTCGCAAGTTGCTAAATGATCTAGGAAATCCTCTACCGACGATCGGGGTTGCATGTTGCTATAAAAGTCTGGAGAGCTGCATTGGTTTGAGTCAGGTTAGCTTGGGGACAAGCAAACAGTTAAGTGGGGGGAATTTGATGACTCGATATTTACACATGTTTTTTTCCACCATTCTTATACTGTTTGAGGCTCGGATCTCGGGTTTTAAGCCGATTTTACGCTAAATTGTTCTTGTTTATGACATTTCAGGTCCTAATGTGTGAATGAAGGTTTGAGCACGAGTTTTGGTTCGATTAGGTGAAGACGAGACGAGCGATGGAGAGCAGACAAGTTGCACGACTAGTACTAGAAAACGCACGGCTGTGCATGGTGGCCGTGCAGCACCATTTTTGGCCATGTGGGATTTACCGAGACTTCGCACGACCTGACCCTATTTTCACACAGTCGTGCACAACTTATTTTCTGGCCGTGATGAATTTTGCGAGAAGCTGCACGGCCAGGCTCTCGAATTGCACGGGCGGTGCACTCCCTTCGTGGAACTAATCCAAACGTTGCATTTTGGTTGCACGGGCAGCCAAGGATGTCGCACGGTCGTGCGGCCTGAACATGCAATCGGAGGCAGTTGCATTTTAACCCAATTTTGGGTTTTGGAGAAAGGAGAGATGGGTTTTGGATCCCAAACACCCAAGGGATGAACCCTAGAGATAGAGAGCGACTTGGGAACATTCTTGGAGCTATTTTGGAAGATTTCTTCACTATTGGAGCTCGAGAATCAAGCTTGGAGATGGAGATTGAAGATCTAGATAAGATTTCTGCAGTCTCACTCTTCTCTATGGAGTAACTTCCCTTCACTTAGGTTTTGAGGAACACTAGTTCCATGAGTTAGGATATTTCTTGTATGAAATTTTGGATGTTATATTGTGTGATTATAATCAATTGAGGCATGATTTATTGAATCAATTGAATCCTGATCAAATTCTCTTGATTTCTGCTCTAACCTATGATAGATAGAATCAGATTAGGTTAAGAGAGCTTCCGTAGTTTAATCAACCGTAAAACAACCAAAAGGAATTACAACTTGGACCTAATTGAGGAGCTAGGGGAAATCATACCTAAGTGAGTTCCCAACCTATAATTAGTAGAGTAGTTTAGTAAATCAATCCTTAATCTAGTTTGCTAGATAATGAACTGAAGCTGAGTAATAGTAACTCTAGAGACCGTGGATTTGATATTTATTACTTGTGTCACTATACTACAATCCCTTAAATTGGTTACACTTACCATTGTAATAAGTTGTGTTTTAGCGAGTCAGGCGCCATCTCCAACAAACTTATATTGGACGGGTCTTCACTCTTCCATCCTCAATTTGGGATTGCAATTCTAGGTCTATGAGACAAAGATTCAGATGCAAGGAATTGCAACGACTTGACCTTTTACTGCTTCCCTTTCACTCTCTGCACTACTTTTCGTCATTGTCGACAGCCAGAATCCATGAATTTGTCAATTTGACAGTTCTTCTCTAGTTTTGGTCGACCCAACCCTCTGACCTAATCTTCACCATAGTCGACTACAGAGCAACCACAACCCACAATTTCCAAGAACTTGTGAATTTAAAAAATCGTGTCATATTTTACATGTTGTTGAGGGTTAGCTAAGTTATTGGTCATTTGAAATTGAACAGAGTGTTATAAAAATTTTAATTCCACTAAAAATCACTATTTTTGCTTAAAATGCATAGGCAATGCTTAGGATTGCTAGGGAGGGGCGGCTAAGAGGGCATGTTGGGATGTCCTCCAACACACGGCCTTGGAATATTAGGAGGCTTCTATCTGGCTATACTAGTTTATTCGATCGTATACTATACATTTTTTATAAATTATATCATATATTATAGATTTTATTTATAGTGTATGGTTAATTAATTAATTATTATAATGATGACTTTAATTATAGAAATATATATTAGTTTTAGTGGGTCAATATTTTCATGCATATAGACACACGAGGCACGTATAATGAATTCTAAAGTTCTGTTTGTGTGTCAAAAGTCCCTATATGTGTTAAATAATGACAAAAAGAGTATTCACGAATTATATATGCCAAATATTGAAAATGATTTCGTGAATAATACAAACTTGGAGAGCTAGTAGATAAAATATTTTTATGAGGGTTATATATGTTTGATTTTAGTTATGTACTTCAGAGATTTGAACCCAGAACCTCATGATATCTCAACTAAGGAACATGGCCATGATAATTCTTGGGAGTTGCTAAAGGTCACCCTTAAAATTGCTAAATGTCGCCCTAAAAAATATCAAAGTTACAAATTTAACCTTTTAGCTTCTTTACTCTTCCTTTAGCAAACAAACACAACTTAGTAAAGAAAATAAAAAATTATTCAAAAGAGAGAATCCATCATCGTTATTCTGGAGTTGGAATCGTCGATATGATGTCTGGAGCATGACTAGCGACTCTGAATCGGTAAAGTTCACTCAAAAAATTGGAAAAAAAAAACAAAACAAAAAAAGGGAACCGTAGCTCATTTGCGGTTGCACCATGGACCAACCGCAAGTGAGCTGCGGTTGGCCCATGGTGCAACTGCAGCTCACTTGCGGTTGCACCATGGACCAACCACAAGTGAGTTGCAGTTGCACCATGGACCAACCGTAACTTGCCTTAGGTTGAGCGTTTTTTTGGAAATTTCGTCAGAGAACGGGCGACGACGACGGCGAGAAAGACGGCGACGACGACGGCGAGAAAGACGCCGACGAACTGGTGCGTCGAGAGGGATTCGCGAAGAAGGCATTTGAGAGGTTCAGTTTGAGGGGTTAGGGATTGTTTGGTTTGTTTAAATTTTGAAATTTTATTGGGGATATATAAGTCATTTATCATTAGAATTAGGGCGACCCTTAGCAATTTTAAGAGCGACATTTAGCGATTCAGTATTCTTTGGATGAACCAGTTGTTAGGCACTAGACATGAACTTGATGTCTGTCTAGCGCCTTACTGAACCTTGTATATTACCATGATCACTAGTAGTAGTAAAAGAAATATATGGATTCTAAAAAACAATAAAGTTGAACTTTATCTTATTTATATCCCTGAGTTTTGTAATGGATTGTGGTATTTGAATTGTGTAAATCTCATAATTAAATCTGAAAGAACTATCAAAATTATATCGTCACTTTTTATACTGAAAATATAAGAACATACCGACTAATCGGTCTGTACATCCAGAATGATGAATTACAAATCTGTTAAGTTATGCATATGTAAATTCATGACAGGGTCAAGTTCCAAATCCATCACTTTTATTAGCCAAATAATAAGTATACGCTCTGGAAATACATTAGTCAACATTTGCATAATCCATAAGGAATTGGATTAGTGATATGGCATGAGGTTACCACCTCAATATCCATATCGGCGCTTCGCTAAGTGTGGATCATGTCGGGTAATACTCACACATGTATGACGTAGATTTGACCCACTCTTATATATTATTTGGAAAAAAAAAATGTCAAGAAGCCATCAAGAAAATACTTCATAAATGAATGACAAATATAGTAGATGGAATAATTGAGTCTAAATAGTTGAAAGATAGAATAATAAAATTTCTTTGGATAAAAAAAATAAGAAATACAGATAAATATTAATGCAGGTCTAAAGCAATATCAATCCCTGGCCCACACTAGTACAGTCCGATAATACCAGCCCCTATCAGATCGTGATAGGTAAGGTTGCACAAGTCTAGTAAGAAATTGTCATCACTAAATTGGATATTATCTATCATCTTCTTCTCCTACATGATGACCAAATGATTATCCCGGTAAATCCTAATTTCTCTCCGAATATGTTCAAATGTTTCCTTTTTTTCTTTTTCTTTAATGATTGAGTGGATTTCATTACGAACAACACCGCGGACGGAATTATCTTTGAAAATATACAAATAAAGCAAAAATAAAAACCCGAGGAACAATAAATAACATCAGTGTCAACAACATCAAATCCTTACTCTTCCAGGTGTGTTGAATGTATTAAAATTAGGCAAGGCCTAAATGCTTTGACACATATATATGTGTGTTTTAGGGATTCGGAGAAATTAATGGAGACAGTAGGCGACTAGATCAAGGGAAAGAAATGCAAAAGGCAAAGGGTCACCAACCTGGTGCTGGCGAAGTCGTAAAGCTTGGCAGTGCTGGAGAAGACGACGAGCCCAACCTCAGCGTCGCAAAGAATGGCCAACTCCTTGGCCTTCTTCATCAAACCCTTCCTTCTCTTGGAGAACGTCACTTGCCTGCTCGTCGAATCCTCGATCCTCCGAATCGCAATCTTCCCTCTCCCCATGATCTCTCCTTCTCCTGGCTACGGTTTTCTTCATCCAAATAACCCAACTCTTAGAACAAGCATAAGAAGGATATGGCAAAGAGGGGGAAGATCATGACAGATCCTTAAGTAACTATTATATAAGAAGAAGAAGAAGAAGAAGAAGAAGAAGAAGAAGAAGAAGAAGATGAAGAAGAAGAGGATGGAGATGGAGATGGAGATGGAGATGGAGATGGAGGGAGAGGGTTTACTTACTTGGATTGTAATGAGCCAAACCAAACCGTCAAATTAAAACTTCAATCCTGCGTTGGATGCTCTCTTACCTCCTCCCTCAAGCTTTATGAAGAAGAGATGGTTTAGAATATAAAAATTCAAAAAAACTTTTCTGTTGGTTGGATGGCAATATTAATTTAAGCACCAAGTGGCAAGTGGTGTTAATTATTAATTAATTTAAATTCATATAACTATTTGTATTAAGTACATCGATTGTCACGTGGTTGGTATGGGAGGCTGTAATTCACTCAATTCTTAAAATCATGTAAAATTATAAGTAAATATTTTGAAATAAATTTTACAAATATAGTAGTTGTAAGGCTTTAACCCTCACCCATCAATCATCACTAATTCCAATTCTCTCACGGTAGATGCTTAACCAGATTTTTTACTTCACCACTATCTGTGAAACTTGTAAGTCGGCTATTTTTTTTTTTTTTCCAAGGCAAGTCCAAAGGGCATGGGACAAAGACTCGACACAATTACAAGACTGACTCAAAATAAATACGATAGTCCGTATGCAACCAGACTACGATGAAAGAGCCTGTTAAGCCACTACTTGGGCCGCTCTGAAGAAGCTCCGAGGAGCAAAGACACGACACTGACGGGAAAATAAAACAAAAACAAAAACACAAACCCAACATCTCCACGATAGTCCCGCCAGCGAGTGTAATTTCCTTCAACGGAGTATGCCGGATGATCGGTATCGAGTTGCAACAAAAATCCACAACAAAGAAAATAAAGGGACATTAGCAATCTTCGACAGAGAAAACTTAATTATTCTCATAAATTTGTACGATTAAGACTAAACTATCACCTTATAGATTGATGAAACTTTCTTCAATTACTTCCATACCATTTAAGCACCTGAAAATGACCAACCAACAATGCACGACTATGGTGCTAGGAATCTCTCTCTAAAGAGATAAAAGTCTACCGATGAGACATAATCGGGATTACCGAATATACCACACCAATAATGTGATGTAGTCACCAATATGAACTAAAAGAGGGAAAATAAGAGCAAGATAATTACACTGATGGTAATATTAATTTGACAAGTAATTAAATAAAATAAAATTATACCAATAGCATAAATAACGAAAATGTGAAATTCAAACAGGGAATAAAAGGAAAAGAATAGCCAAAGACACTACCGAGACAGTTAAGGCCATTTTAAATTATAGAAATTAGCAAGCTAATTAAATAAGAGACTTGATTGCAATTAAACTCCGCCAATAAGGACAACTGAAGCAACTGAGCATAAATTACTCTCAAAAAGTTTTAAAATTAAAATGGATAATGACTCCAAAACGTTGGCGAGAATTAATACACATAGAATTTGACCAAAAATGGGTAACTGTAGAAATCACTTAGGCTGCGTTTGGATACAAGGATTTGGATTTGGTATTTGTGATTTGGATTTTCAAATACCAAATCATGTGTTTGGATATTAATTACATTTGGTATTTGGATTTGTGTCAAATTCATGGGGTGATTTCCAAATACATGTCTAGTGTATTTTTTGTCAACTTCAAATACATTTCAACAACTAGTGATTTGAAATACCTCATAACAAAAAAATGGACCTATTTGTAAAATATGAAAAGTTTAGGTACTATAGTGTGAGGCAAAACATAAAAAGGTACCAAAATATAATTTTACCATCAAAATTTCAGGACCTTTTTGTAAAATTTTAAAAGTTTAGGTACTAAATTATAAGAAAAAATAATTTCGGGTACCAAACTGTAATTTACCAAAATTTGTAGTAAGTGGCGAGAAAATTAAAAATTGAAAGTGAAAATCATAAATACAAAAATACAAACAAATTACAAATGAGTATCCAAACAATGAATTTGAATTACATGTATTTCAAATGCTAATACTTCAAATACATCCATTTCAAATGCTAGTATTTCAAATACCTTACATTTAAAATACACTTATCCAAACGCACCCTTAGAGAAATTTTTAAAACTAAAAGAGAGATAATGACCCCAATAAATTTGGCGAGAATTGAAACTCAAAGAATTTGAACCATAAAGGGTAATTGCAGAAATCACTCCAAGCGCAAAAACAACGGAAATTCATAACTACAATTAATAACGAGCGCAAAAACAACGGAAATTCATAACTACAATTAATAACAAGCTCATCATCATAGCCGGAAACGGACCGGAAAACAATGTACAATCCGAGCACGGCGGGGCAATGAAGGAGTGGTCGGCGAGAAAGACAAGATGAAACTGAAATGGAGGACTCTGTCAAAGATAAACAAAGGAGAAAAATGGCCTAATAGGACCGTTGTTGGTCGATAACACATGGAATAGAAAATTAGACTACTAGTCAAATTGAATTACAGGAAGGAGGGCAACCAAAACCTATGAAAAGAAAAACGCAGGAAAATCGTGTGATTTACCTGATGAAAGTGGTGGTGCTTGTTCCGGCGAGGCAGCCAAACCAAGGCCTCTACTTTTCTCCTACTACCAATCTCAAACAGTATTCCACCTTTAAACCGATTGTAACAATAATATCATTTGAATTGTTTTTTTTTTCACTTAAATAATAATTAATTTCACCATAAACAACTCATCAGTCATTAATCGTTTTTTTCACATTTCTGAATTCTGACTGTATTTATTTTAGTGAGAAATGAATGGAGTTCCAGCAAAAAATGAGTAATCGAAGGAGTTAAGGCTGAATTACCGAGACCTCAACTTGAGGTTCCTGGTATAAGTGTGGAGGATCTTGGGCGGAAGGCTCTACCAATTTGGGTCAACCTGTCTAATGTTCCACTCGAGTACAACGATTATCAGGGTCTGAGCCGTATTGCAAGTTGGATTGGGGTTCCTTTGGGTGTAGATCATACTACACGAATGGGGGATCGTCATGGTTATGCAAATGTTTTGATTGAATTAACAGTGGATAGCGAGTTCCCAGATCATGTGTTGCTGTGGCCAGATGATGAATCTTCTCTGCGTATTGGAGTGATTTATTGTAATCTTCCTCCTATATGTCATGTATGTCACCTATTTGGTACTAAGGGAAATTGTGCAGAGCACAATCAGAAGTGGGTTGCTAAACCTGCTCAGCAGGAACATCTGCAGACTATACCAGTGCAAGAGAGCAAGCAAGTTGAGCAGGTGGCTACTGAAGTTCGAGATAAGGGTAAGGAAATTGTGGTTTTTGAGGAGGATCCGCAGTTGAGTGCTGTGGTTGGTACACTCAATACTCCGCCAAGGGGGATCTCTACAGCGCTGATATCTCAGAATCTTGAGAAGTCCTTTTGTGAGGTTGCTGGGTCATCTTCTCCTAATCTGCCATCGGAAACTGAATTTCAACGAGTGGTTCATGGTGCTAAACCTCGCGTTTGGTCGCCTCAGCCATCATCAGGTATTCAGGTTTCTGCTTCTCCATTTGATGTGCTCAGTAAACTTGATGAGGAACCAGTAAAGTTGCAGGATGCTCCAAAGAAGAAAGATTCTAAAAAGGAGAGTAAGAAGGGTGGTGGAGGAGGAGGGGGAGGGGCCAAACCCTCTACTCCCACATGATTATTCTATTTTGGAACGTGAGGGGGTTCAATCGAACCTCCAAGCAGCATGATTTGCTGCGGGCACTTAGTAGAAATAAAGTAGATATTGTAGCGGTTCTGGAAACTAGGATTCAAATCTTGGCAGAGTGTGGTTGTTTTGGAATCCGGACATCAATCTTACAGTTTTGCAACCAGAAAATAATTTTGTTCACTCAGTAGTAGAAGGGGTTAATGGAGAGAGGTTCTTTTTAACAGCAGTATATGCAGCTAATGATGAAATGGAGAGGAAGCTGACCTATGGTACACTTGGGCAAATTCAAGTTGGGGACTCCCCCTGGCTGGTAGGGGGGATTTCAACACTGTTCGAGCCCCAGAGGAAACATCAAATGTCAGATGCATTACTACTAGTATGGTTGATTTTAATGAGTGGATTGATAGGATGGAATTATTGGATTACAGAACCACGGGACCTCAGTACACATGGACAAATCGATAGCAGAATAACCCTATAGCCAGGAAGTTGGATAGAGCTCTTGTGAATATGAAATGGGTGGAGATGTTTAAAGACTGTTCTATGGAGGCTGTCCCAGCTCCCTTCTCAGATCATTGTGGTATCCAGGTATGCACAGAGGCACCTCTCAAATCATTGCCCAAACCGTTCAAATATTTTGAATATTGGGCAGAACATCCACTCTTTTTGCCAACAGTGGAGAAAGCTTGGGGGATGGAAGTCAGGGGAAATCCTTTGCAGGTTGTCCAAGGGAAGCTAGAAGAAGTTAAGAAAGCCTTGAAGAAGTTTAATCATGAGATTTATGGTGGACTGCAGGATCAAGTTAGGGATGCTGAAACTGAGTTGAAGCAGGCACAAATACTTGCCTTCTCTGATCCCACTGGTGATCATTTTGCTGCAGTAAGGCTGGTGGAGGAGAAGTATGAACTGATCTCAGCAGCATATGAGAGCTTTTGCTGGCAAAAGTCACGTATTTCTTGGCTCAACCGAGGAGATAAGTGCTCTGGGTTTTTCCATCAGGCAGTCAAAATCATAAATTCTAAGAAGGCAATTCGAAAGCTAGTTACTGATACGGGGGTTTCTTTAACTCAATCAGATCAGATTGTGGAGGAGGTGGTAAGCTTTTATAAGAAGTTATTAGGGGAGGCAAACGCAGAAATATCACCTACTAAGGCGATGGTTGAAGCTTTGGTCAGAGTACAGATCCTTGAGTCAGAAAAGGATGCTTTAATCCAGCCTGTATCAGCAGATGAAATCAGGGCAGTTGTCTTTGGAATGAATTCCCAAAAGGCCCCTGGCCCATATGGATTTTCTGTAGGTTTCTTTAAAAAGACCTGGCACATTATTGGAGCAGATGTTACAAAGGGAATACTTGACTTCTTCCAACGAGGTAATCTTCCTGGTGGAATCAATTCTACGGCTGTTTCTTTAATTCCCAAGATTCCTAATGCTGAGCACCTTAAGAATTTCAGACCTATCTCCTGTGTGAACCTACTCTATAAGATTATTGCAAAAATTCTGTCCAATAGAATTAGGGAGGTTTTTCCTTTGATTATAAATCCTACACAGTCTGCTTTTATTAAGGGTCGCAGCATTATGGACAATATTCTCCTTGCTCAAGAGTTGGTTAGTGGTTATCATAGGTCTGGCTTATCATCTAGATGTGCTATAAAGATAGATGTCATGAAGGCTTTTGACTCTGTTAATTGGAATTATCTTTTTATGATGATGTCGGCTATGGGATTTCCTGAAAAGTTTCTTAATTGGATCAAGTGTTGCGTTCAAACAGCTCACTACAGTATTAATGTGAATGGAGGTTTATGTGGATTTTTTCGAGCTCGAAAGGGTGTGAGGCAGGGTGATCCCCTGTCTCCATACCTCTTCACTATTGCCATGGAGGGTCTTTCCACGTTACTGGTGCAAGCAAGTCAGGTTGGTAAGATCCCCTATCACCCACAGTGCAAAAGAGTAGGATTGAACCATCTATGTTTTGCAGATGATATCCTGGTTTTTACTTCTGGATCAGGCCAGGCCATTCTTCAGGTCAAGTCTGTTTTGGAGGAATTTTATAGAATCTCAGGGCTTAAGTGCAATCCTTCAAAGTGTGAAATATATTTTGGAGGGGAGTCTGTAAAATTTAAGAACGCTGCTCTGGCTGTCTCGGGGTTCCAGGAGGGGTCCTTACCAGTTAGGTATCTTGGGTTACCTCTGCTTACAGGGAAGCTATCATCAAAGGAAGTGGATATCTTGGTTGATAAAATAACTAAAAGAATCAGGTCATGGAGGGCCAGGAAGCTTAATTATGCTGGCAGATTACAACTGCTTAATTCAGTTCTACTGGGGATCGTGCAATATTGGATGCAACTTTTCATCTTACCAAAGCAGGTTCTCAAGCGAGTGCAGCAACTGTGTTCTCAGTTTTTATGGCATGGAACAGATGAGGGGCGTGCCAAGGTTGCCTGGGATAGAATTGCACTTCCAAAGCGAGAAGGTGGACTGGGGGTGAAAGATCTTTTGACCTGGAATCAGGCTTGTACTGTTAGAATGCTCTGGCTGTTTCTCCTCAATTCAGGTACGCTATGGGTGGCATGGATGCGCGAGTATAAATGTAGACAGGGGGACCTTTGGGTGATGAAGTCACAGTTTAGTAGTTCTTGGACGTGGCGAAAGCTGCTCAAATTGAGGCACACTGTAAGTCCTTGGCTACGAAGAGGTACAGAGGGAGTCTTCTGGGGGTCTCACCTGATGCACAAATTCTCTGTCCAAACAGTATGGGAGTCACTGCGGAATAGGCAGCAGGACGTTGAATGATATAAGCTTATTTGGGGCACACCATGTCCACCCCGATATAGCATGCTTGCTTGGCTCATTGTCAAGAATGCCATAGTGACTAAAGACAAATTGCAGAGATGGGGGAAAATTGCAGACGCGACCTGTGTACTGTGTGGATCTGCAGCAGAAACAAGAGAACACTTATTCCTGCAATGTATGTTCACTCGCCGAGTTGTAGTTACACTGGGATGCAAGCTTCTGAACTTCTGGGATTGGGACACTATGCTGACTGAGGTTTCGCTTTTAACACGCAAAGGTAATGCTGGACGGTGGCATGGGGTGATGTGGTGCATGATCTTGGCCTTCATTTGGAAAGAACGCTGTCTGATTGTGCATGGAAAGGACAGAGGGGAGCCTGAGGGAGTTGCTTTTCTCATTAAGGCGGATTTATGCTTTCTGGTGGCAGGGGATGTGGTGATGCGTAAGGAATTGGAGAGAATAGGGTACCTTTAGATAGCTTCCTTATAGTTACAGATTTGGTAAAAGTAGAATTGTATAGAAAGGTGGATCTCTTTGTTGTGTGAGACCACTTAGAGCAGATTTATGCTCTGTTCGTTGTATTAGCTTGTTTTAATCAATGCGAGAAGGATCTGATTCAACGGAAAAAAAAAACTTTTTCTTTCAAACTTTTGAGGAACGGCCGTCATTTGCCCATTACGGCGGTGACACCTGTGGATCTTCACTTCTCTTGGATTGGATGCATTAATATAATATGATCTACTACTCCGAGGGCAAGACAGAACAGAGTATTAATTATGATTATCACTTCACAAATCACATGTGTTGTTTTCCCCGGGGGTTTGGTCCATGCTTTGAAGGAAGAGATTCCATTCCCATTTTCTATCTGTGTTGTACGATGTTTCGCAATATAAATTATACTCTTTTTTTTTCCGGGATTGCTATTCGTCGCCCTAAATATTCTTATTCGTCGCCCTAATTAAAATAAATTTACAGTAATGCCCTTAATTTTTTTTCTTTCCAACACTTAAATCCTAAAATAATCACACATCCACTCTCGCCGGATTCTGCCAACCTCACCGGATGCCCAATCGTCGTCGTCAATGAAATTTGCTTCCCTTCCCTTCCCTGTATAAATCTTGGTCGTATAGTTTAGGCTTCTCGTAAGAAATATAATCATATATTAACATGAGATGATGAACCCCACTTTAAGAATTTCGTCATGTACTGCTAAATCCTCCTTCCTCCATTTTCCTTTTGCTCGACACCAATGGGAAGAATAGTAGCGGGGATCGGACGGCGGACAGGAGCAGTTCTTGGGCAGCGGCGGGGAGCACTCTAGGGCGACGACGGCGGCGGCATTATTTTGCCAGATGTGAGGGTCGGGTACCTTTGGGGTTTACGGATTGTTTGGTAGGGTTCTGTTTAGAATTGGGGTTAGGGGTAAATATGTCAATTTAGTGTGGTTTAGGGCGATTTTTTTTTAATTTTAGGGCGACGAATAGCGATTCAGTTTTTTTTCGGTAAATTACAAGTTCGATCACTGAACTTACTAATAAAGTTCATATTGGCTACAAAAATTGGAAAAATAAATCTAAACCCTTTTTTCCTCGAATCTAAATTTCCAGAACGGATCCTAATCCAAAAATCACACTCCACTATAAGTTTTTTTCCCCAACAAAGAGCAAAGAGACAAACTCTCCACCTGTGTGAATCAGATTGGAGTAACACCATTAATTAAAAGGTAATTCTTATGGTATCATTCAGATATCCAAATATCAAATTAAAATGCTTGAATTAGACATACTAGCTATAATCCCCTAATGGTTACTTATGACTATTGTTCAAAAAATATGAAGTACAATGGCAAATAAAAAAACCTGAAAAGAGGAAGAGAATTAATTAACTCGAAGAAGACAAGACAAAAACTTGAAGTAGTAACCATTGATAAACTAACAATTCGACAGTTTCACCCTTGTTGCTTTTGGTCAACAACAATGATTCCGTGATTAGGTCCTTCACAAAAAATTATTCTTAATAATTCAACTAAAACTAGGTTAGTGTGACGCAACCCGATAATAGGAACAATTCATTTCTTGGAACAATTTATTTTTTATTTTACATAATTTTTCGAGATCATGCAAGCCGCAAACTATCGTAGGCGAGTTGGTCCTGTCTTTGTCCTGAAAAAACATTGTTTGTTACCCCGAACGAGCAATTTTTCGATTTCGCAAACTTTGGACGGCCATAACTTTGTGCTCCAAAATCCGAACGTCATGAATTTTTTATTATTTTGCTTAACTTTTCAAGGACTACGGGGTCGTTTGGATTGATCAATCTAGAAATGAGTAAATTTGATAAATTTTCTCGTTTTAGAAACGAGTCAATTCGAATTACCTGCCCCCACCCCAGGTAATTGAAATTGACTCAAAACGAATCAATTCAAAATACCTCAGGCCAAATTGATCAATCCATTTTTTTTTTTTGCTGACAAACGAAGCAATTTGGTAAAATTGTCTCAAAACGAGACAATTGTGTCTAATTATTCCGTTACAATTCCTCATCCAAACGACCCATACAACTTTTATCATAGCCATAATTTCCTAACGTACGAGGATTTGTGAAAAGTAAAGGCAAAAGTATTCCCTAAACCCCATATACCCAAAAATACTTCATGTCTTGAAAATTCCTTTCTAGTAAAAGTTGTAGTACTTGAAAAGTTATGCAAAATGATAATACATTTCATGACGTTTGGAGTGCAGAGCACAAAGTTATGGCCGGTCAAAGTTTGGCGAAATCGGAAAATTCCTCGTTCGGGGCAGCAAACGACGTTTTTTCGGGAAGAAAGCGAGACCAACCCACCTATGACGCTTTTCAGCTTGCAAGATCTCGAAATGTTATGCGAAATCTAAAAAGTTTCGATACGATAGGATACCCGCGCGCAAAGTTCCGTTCGTTTGAAGTTTCGGCCTAGATTAGGCGTTGATTGAAAAAAAAAACTGTGGGGGGGGGGGGGGTGGGGGTGGAGGTCTGCATAGTAACAACGCCTACCCCCGGCGGTTTATCATAACGTCCCATCATCATGCAGTCTTTTGACGATAGGAATGAAAATCGCTGGGTGGGGTGGAGATTTATGGGAAAGGGTGGTATTTTTGGAAATTTTCGGAAATGGATGATATTTTTGGATTTTTTTTGTGATATAGTTGGAAAATTTCCCATTTATTGAGGATTAATGGAGTAACCTCTGGGTTAGAAAGGCGGACAAAATTTCAATTCTCTTATTCTTAAGCTTTGGTTTTTGTTCGATTCCCATCTCCCTTTAGAGGCTGATTATAGCACGTGGGGTCTAAGTTCTATCTTTGTTTCTTTTACTTATGTTATTTAGCTCAATATTATTTAAAGAGATGCTTAGCCTTGCTTTTTGAGTTTTGAACCAACAATAGTAAAATATGTAGCAACAACCGAAGCAATAAATCTAGCAGTAATAATGGTAGAAACATTGGGAGAAAATTTTCCTAACACCTATGTAGGTTAATATGCATCCTAATTGAACTTGAGATTTTTGCATTGGATGAATGGCTAGCTAGGCATCTGAATTTTTTGGTATATACTGATAGCTTTGTGACTAGCCTAGCAAAACTCTATTGATTTGAAGTGATGAACAATACTCTTTATGAACATCTAAGGTACCGAGTTCTCAATAGTAATGCTATCTATGAACATTTAGGTGAGTTTGCTTCATTAATGTGCAGTGGATAGATACTCTAATTGGGTCTGAATACTCATTTTTAATGTTCTTAGTAGGGTTTTTTATTTTTTTTTTGCATATGCTTCCCAGGGATCATAAGAATGCTCGTAAAGCACTTTTGTTCAGCTTCTATTATTACAGACAAGTACTCTAAAATCTTGTTTTAGGCGATGGGAAGAAAGTTGGGTCATGGTCTTTCAAATCTTTTGAGAACTTTCCTTTTAATATGAACTTGTTGTAAGTTGTCCTTCATTGTGGAATAGATGGAGGCAATATTGTTACTTAACGATTATGGCCGAAATTATTAGAATATTCTGTGTTGCCTTCAATATTTTGTATAATCTTGTTATTTATCATAATTACCAGATCTTGTGACAAAATTAGCATGTTAGATTATTACAAAATGCCTTCATCACAAAATATACATATGAAAATAAATAAAAAATGTCATAAGAACACCATATTATATTAGATGTTGTGACAAACTATTATAACAAAATAATTTGTCACATTTTTATAATTTGTCACAATAACATATCAAAATTTGTAATTATTGTGACAAAATTTGATTGTATTATGACAAAATATCTTATTATTTTGACAATTTTTTCTTTGTCAAAATAGGTGTCTTATAATTACAAAAGTTGGTCGTCGTGCATTAAAACAAATTGTGGCAAGACTTTAAAACTTTGTCATCATAAATTTGTTTTGACGAGGTAGTTTTGACGAACGTTATGACAAGAAATTTGTCATAAAAAACTTAGGACTTTGCTACGGTGACATGCATGTCACGGTGACATGCACTTTTCGGTCGACCTCATATAGGATCAGGTCGACCTAATCAGTTGTTTCAGTGTACAAACAGTTTCATGGTGCCTACTTTGAAGATTCATATCTTACAATTGGCTAGATGGAAATTGGAGATTAAAGGCTTGCTTTGAAGCTGAAGTGTCCCTCTACACATTAAAGTACTTGGGAGCTCAATAGAAAGTCCAGAAGACCATTTTTGAACCTGACCAAAAGGCTATGCCAAAACTGGGAAACTGCCTGAAAATGGCTAAGTCTGGCAACGTGTTTGTCAAGCCTACTTTGGAGCTCAATTTGATAAGCATGAATGCGAGTCAAGTCCAGGGGCCTTTACCACGTTAAATTACGTAATTTTTTATACAAAGGCAATGCATTGAATGAAAGATTGAATATCTTTAAGGCTTCAAACAAAAGGCTCGAAGTTGCTACGAAGGCTGTTTTTCAGGCAGCTTGCTTGTGCTCGAAGTCTGCCAGAAAAACAGCCTTCGTAGCAACTTCGACCCTTTTGTTTGAAGCCTTAAAGATATCCAATCTTTCATCCAATTCCTTGAATTTGTATAAAAACATACCTAATTTAACGTGGTAGAGGCTCCTGGACTCGACTCGCATTCATGCTTCTCGAATTGAGCTCAAAAATAGGCTTCACAAACACGTTTCCAGACTTAGCCATTTCTAGGCAGTTTCCCAGTTTTGGTATAGCCTTTTGATGAGGTTCAAAAATGGTCTTCTGGACTTCCTATCGAGCTCTCAATCACTTCAATATGTAGAGGGACACTCCAGCTTCAAAACAAGTCATTAGTCTTCAATTTCCATCTAGCCAATTGTATGATATGAATATCCAAAGTAGGCACCATGAACTGTTTTTACACTCAAACAACATATTAGGTCGACCGGATCCTATATGAGGTCGACCAAATCCTAAATGAGGTCGACCGGATCCTATATGAGGTCGACCGAATTCTATGTGAGGTGGACCTAATCCTAACTG